CTCTCTGCTTGACTTATTTCACTCAGCATCATCTCCTCCAGTCCCGTCCATGCTGACACAAAAGTTGGGGATTCATCCTTTCTGATGGAGGCATAATACTCCATAGTGTATATGGACCACGTCTTCCTTATCCACTCGTCCGTTGAAGGGCATCTTGGTTCCTTCCACAGTTTGGCGACCGTGGCCATTGCTGCTCTGAACACTGGGGTACAGATGGCCCTTCTTTTCACTCCATCTGTATGTTTGGGGTAAATACCCAGTAGTGCAATGGCAGGGTGGTAGGGAAGCTCTGTTCCTAGTTTCTTCAGGAAGCCCCACGCTGTTCTCCGGAGCAGCAGCACCAGCTGGCACTCCCACCAGCAGTGTAAGCGGCTCCTGTGGAAAGGGATTCTTGCTCCTCTCTGTGTCTCCGGCGCTTGGTGCACGATCGCGTGTTTTCTCTGCCGCACCTGCACCAGCCGCATGGTTGCACGCACGTTCACAGACACATGCGGCATGCGGTTCCTCAGTGCGTGTGACAGGCCTTGCACCAGGCCCGTCGGCCTCAAAAACCCAACACGTAGTGATGCTTTCGAAGGAGCTTTTTGTCAACTGCGTGACTGAATTCCAAGTTTATCAGAAAGCCTGGGAATGTGAGAATTGACAGTGTGGCTCAAGCCACACGGCCTCAGTTGCCGCGCGAGCTGATGTGGCAGGAAGGTGCCCGGCAAGGATGGTGAAGAGACGTCCTTCCCATCCTGTGGACTTGACGTTTCGTGTCGATGGCGGGAGTTGCTGACGGTGTTGGAGGGAGGGAGGAGAATGAAGGCTCCTTATTATGGGAAGGTGGCTCCAGTCAGAAGGTCAAAAGCCATTCTCAAGGCTTACAAGTCAGGATGAGCCGTGAGGTCCCTAGGGTCCACACAGCAGCAGGAAAGCCCGTGTCACACTTGTGCGGCTGGCTTGGGGACGTCTGAAGGTTGCTGGGAGACAGGAAGTGAAGAAGGGGTAGGGAGGATGATGGGGGGCGGCGTGTGGGGCAGCCCCTGTCACCCACCTCCGCCTGCGCACCTGTGGACGTCCCTGCCAGCCTTGCTCGGTGTTTCACAGCAGGAGGCGGCCGCGCCCGTCAGGCAGTCGGGTGGCAGTCCTGCAGGGGCAGGTGCTGCTGGTCAGAGGCGTGCGGGCCGCGGGGCAGACCGGGAGGCTGAGCCTGTGCGTCCATGGGGTAGAACAGCGCTCCCGGAGGGAGACTGGGCAGAGCTGGGCGCTACAAGCTCTGGGAAAGGTGAGGCCTTGGACCCTAGAAGGTCTGCGAAGCCAGAGAACCCTAACTATGGCCCCGGCACAGCAGGCCCACAGACCAGTGGGACAGAATCCAGAGCCCAGGAGAAAACCCCGCACATAAATGGGCAGCTAACGTAGGACAGGGGCAAGAGTAGACCGTCTCCTCAGCCCTTGGTGCTGGGAGCACTGGACAGCTGTGTGCAGAGGAATGAATGGACCTTTGTCTCACACCACACACGATGGACAGGGAACTGAAGACAGAAACCACAGAAGTTCAAGATGAAAACTCTTTTTTTGACATTGGCCTTAGCAACATCTATTTCGATCTGTCTCCCCTGGGAGGGACTGAAAAGCTGAAGCAAACAGATGGGATTTCATCAGACCAAAAAGCCTCTGCGCAGCAGGGGAACCCACCAACAAAATGAAGAAGCAGCCTATCGAACGGAAGAAGATGCTTTCAAACCATCCGTCCTGTGAGGGGTTAACATCCAAAAACATGGGAAGAACTTAGACAACTTAGTACCGAACAGTTAAAATGCCCCCAATTTAAAAATTGATGGAGGATCTGAAAAGACATTTTTCCAAACAAGACCTGTTAGATCACCTACAAACGCATTGTTGATCGCGAGAGAAACGCAAATCGAACTACGGTGGCACGTCTCCTCACACTGGCCCCAGTGGCTCGTTCACCAGCACGGGAGCGGCAGGTGTTGGCCAGGGCGCAGAGAAAGGGGCAGCCGCGTGCACCGCAGGTGGGAGCGCAGACGGGTGCAACCGCTGTGGGGAGCAGCGCGGAGGGTCCTCAAGACGCTAGAAGTGGGGTTGCCCTGTGACCCAGCACTTGCACTTCCGGGTGTTATCCAAAGAAAACGAACACTCAGTCACAAAGGTACGCACCACCCCTGCATTCCCAGCAGCCTCGTCTACGTAGCCAAGATGTGGAAGCGGCGCCAGCCAGCGTCCGGAGAGGAGTGCACGCAGGAGAGCTGATAGGCACGCACCACTCGGCCATTGAGACGGAATCTGGCCGTTTGTGACAAGGAAGGACCTGGAGGGCACAATGCTTGGTGAAATGAGTCCGAGAACAAGTTGTGGAATCTAAATGACCACCAAACACTGGAGACACGGACGCAGAGAACGAGCGGGTGCTTGCCGGGGGGAGGGTCGGGGAAGGCGAGACGGAAGGGGACGCAGAGCTGCGAACCTCTGGTTATAAAGGGAGGGAGTCCTGGGGTGCAAAGCCCAGGGTGGGGAGTGTGGCCGGTCGTACTGCAGTGACGTGTGGGCGGCACAGGCAGGCGCTTGTCCCGGGGAGCACGCCGTAACCTACCAATAGCAGACCGCTGCTGCGTGCACCCGAAACGGACAGTGCACGTCGGTCGTACTCGGTTTCCCAGAAGAGAAACGCGCGAGGCGTCCATCCAGGCACGGCAGCTGCGCTGTGATGCGGTGGGTGCTCGCCCAGAGTGAGCTGGGCGCACGCCCGGTGCTGTGCCCACCGTCCCGCAGTGTGGCTGGCGAGTGGGGCGGGGGCCCTTTTCTTGGTAGGAACTGTGCAGGTGTCGTATTCTTATTTTTGACACACGTGTAAAATTGTTGGTACTAGAAAGGTTGAAAGAAGTATCATTATTTGTCGTAGTCGTATCTATAAACTGTCCATTACCACAGCCCACCGTAAATTGGAAGCTGCAGGTTTGGTGTGCGTCAGAGGGAAAAGTGTGTCCTGGAAGTTCTTTAATTATGTGAATCTGAGAAGTAAAATTTTTTTTATCATAATAATATGTTAAATGATTTTTCAGAACTGTTCATTTGGGCACACTTAACAGGTGAGCTTGGGGCTTGTTCTAACAGGAATGAACGTACAGTATCTTTTGATGATAACAGAACGACCATGTTCATTTCAAATCTTTGATGTAAATAATTTCTAGATCTTTCTTACTTCATTTGGAGGTTGAATTATTTTGTTTTTAAGATTTTATTTATTATTTGACAGACAGAGATCACAAGTAGACAGAGAGGCAGGCAGAGAGAGGAGGAAGCAGACTCCCTGCTGAGCAGAGAGCCCGATGTGGGACTCGATCCCAGGACTCTGGGATCATGACCTGAGCTGAAGGCAGAGGCTTAACCCACTGAGCCACCCAGGTGCCCCGGTTGAATTATTTTTAATTACATTCTTTAATATGACCTAGTATTTTAATTAATTCTGCTTTACTTCACGAGGATGACATAACCAGAAAACCCTTTTAAATTGTACTTTTTAACGTAATTTTGATTTCAGGAAACTTAGGTGCCATTTAATTGAGGTACTAAAAGGGCTGAATAGAATTCTGCAAAAAACAAAATTTATAAAACTGAGAAGCATCCCTGAGAAGAGCTGCTCTCTGAGATTCAGGAGACCCGGGTGTATGTACCGTGTCCGTTCTCGTAAGAAGGTTCGAGTCTCTGGAGCAGCTTCATGAAAGACGGGTTTCCTTTCCGTCGGAGTAGCCTCGGCGTCGTGGCGGGGCTCCGAGGCTGATGTGCTGTTGTGTTCTGGACACTACCGTGTGTGGAGTCAACGTAGACGTGACGATGCTTCGCACGAGGTCTCCTCGCCGTGTGCGCCGAAGAAAACAAGCTCGTTGACATTTACGGCTGTCTTGTGGCCGGGCGGACGGCCCAGCTTCCAACGGGCTGCGGATATGCTAGCTCGTGCCCACGTTGGGGCTGGGTCGGTCCGGGTGGCCTTTCTGCACGCTGTGAAGGAAGCTCAGCAGAGCCCAGGGTCACCACCCGCACGCCCGTCTCATTCCCACCCCCGACCCGCAGACACGCAGCTGTTCACGCGGCCGCAGGTGGCTTTACTCCTCTTGGACGCGGTAAACAAAGTTCCTCCTATGGTGTTACGTCAAGTGACACACGTCACAGTGTTCAGGGCTTTCAGGATCATGAAGGTGTGTGACATGGTGAGTCTGTGTGTCACTTTTAATGGTAATTCACCAGTTTTGAAATGTTAGCTTCTCCCTGCCTTTCACGGTGCTGCTTCACGGTTTGGCCGACCCAGGACCCCTCATAACGTTGACCTGTGTGTGCTCCTCCCCGTACCGCCTTCCTCACACGCAGGCGTGGAGGCCTTCCCTGTGCTCGCGCGCCTGTGTGCCTGGCCCACACGGCCTGGCCATCCCCAGGAGGGAGCCCCCCACCAGGCAGCTCCATGGTGGGAGCCCAGGGCACAAGGAAGTGCCCTCCTGCTCACTGACCTTCCCGTGGCTCCACGTGATGCACATGGAGGCTAAGGGTTCGATGCTTCCATTTCTGTCCAATGAAAGTAATTTTTCAAAATTGGGTTTTTTAAAAAACTGGTAGGCACACTGATTTGGGACTGATTGATGTCTTTCTCAGGCAGTGTCCTAGACTGTAATGACAAAGACAGTGACTCTGTTTCCCAGTTTCACGCCCGTCTCAGAACAGGCACAAGTGATATTCGCAGCAAACAGCGCGTCTGAACTGAGAGGCAGAGCCACCCTTCCCTCAGGAAGCCAGACCCCTCCACGCTTTTCCGGAGGGATCTGGGCGGGACGCGTGTCCTCCATGGGGAAGGACATTGCTAGCGGCTGGAACTACAGAGCAGAGCGTTCCCACTCCCGAGGGGCGCTCAGGTCTGAGAGCGTCGGCCCGTGAATGTCCGTTACAGGCCAGGGGTCCTGGTCCCGCAGATGACCTTACCTTCCTCTGTGGCATGGTCTTTGTCGCAGGAACCCTCACCCAGAACGAGATGGTGTTTAAGCGGCTGCACTTGGGGACCGTGTCCTATGGAGCGGACACGATGGACGAGATCCAGACCCACCTCAGGAACCCATACTCACAGGTGAGCCCGTTGGCGCTGGGGGCCGCCTGCAGGAGTGCCAGGTTCGGCGAGCCGGCCTGAGCCTGTCGCATCCGCTGATCTGGAAATCGGCCAACGTCTTTGTCCTAAAACACTCAGTTCTCTTTTATAAATCAGGAGACAGTTTTTGGACCAATCTTAAGTAAGCATTTCTGTTCTGTAAAATAATAGAAAAAGTATAATGACCTTAAACCATTTATTCATATTAAATAATTTTCTTAGTGAAATAGTGGGGAAAAAACCACTCGGTATAGGAAGTATTTTAAGGCTGTTAAGCAGAATACTGCATCACAGGTGTTTCTTACCAGTCCCTCTGTGTTTCTTCATAATTACTAAGACTTTCTCATATTTTTTTGCCTCTTCGATAAATGGAAGTAGACACACAGTGTCGTGAGCCGTAGTGTCCCTGTCATTCTGCCTCAGCAGCTGTCTGTGCACAGCGGCCCTCGTGCCCCCGTAGCCCTTCTGCTTCTTCTTTATCATCGTGAGGTGAAACTCCGACGTCCAGTGTTTGATCTGCAAGTACGTCGGCCGCTCTCTGAGGTGCAGGAGAGACACGGCCTCATAGCCACAGTGTTTGCTGGAGGCTTTGTAGGCCGTGTGCTCTGCAAGTGCCTCTGTGGCCCAGGACAGTCCTGACCTGGGGCGCAAGGGCCGTGTGTGCCCCGGTGACGTCCGTGGGGCCAGCGGATGCAGGCCACTTGGCAGAGTTCATCTGAGGCCACGCGGGTCCCGTAGCCTGTTCCCAGGGAGCGTCTGCGTTGCACTCATGTGAATTCACCGATTACGTAACCAAACCTCACAACCCCAGGGCCTCTGAGATGCTCGCGCACAAGGCTGCGGTTTGAATCCCGGGCCAGGTTCCACTTTCCTAGGCTGCTTCTCTGCCTCTCTGCTGGCCTCTTGTGGGGTTTGGTCACCCCAGTCATAACAGGCTAGTGTAGCTCAGGCACAGACACACAGCTTGCCCGCCCCCTGGGGACAGGGGCTTGCTGTGCCTGGACCACGGCTGCCCGAGGCTCCCATGGGCCGTCTGGCGGCGGTGCCCACAGAGGCCCTGTTATTCACGTCGTCCTTCTGACTTGACTTTCACAGCCGGGGCTGAGCCACACATGCCCTGAGCAGTTTCTGCTCTGACCAGATTCAGTGTAGTCTGCCTCGCGTTCAGCTTGTGCGGACCTTCTCTTCGGGAATGTTTCCCAGAACGGCGTATACTTTACTTTCCAAGATGCTGTCAGACGAAAAATATCTAATGGATACATGTTCATCGTATGTGATGATCACGTACACAGGCACACGTACGTGCACACGTACACTTAAAACCAAGCCCTTTCTTGGGGCGCCTGGGTGGCTCAGTGGGTTAAGCCTCTGCCTTCGGCTCAGGTCATGATCCCAGGGTCCTGGGATCGAGCCCCGCGTCGGGCGCTCTGCTCAGCAGGGAGCCTGCTTCCTCCTCTCTCTGCCTGCCTCTCTGCCTGCTTGTGATCTCTGTCTGTCAAATAAATAAACAAAATCTTTAAAAAAAAAAAAAAAACAAAAAAAAAAAACCAAGCCCTTTCTTAAGTTGGATGTCACTCAGTTCAGTACAGGGTACTCTGTAATCTAGAACATTTGTCAACAGAAGGAAAATCTAAAAAGGAGAAGGAATAAGACTTTCCTTCTCCTGGTAATCTAGGTCAAGGTCGAAACAGTACCAGGTAAAATCTGTTTTTAAAGAAATAAATTTACATTATCCATGAATATTTTAATAGTTCCCAATAAGCTATTTTACTAGAAAAATTAAAAGCAGAAAGGATGAGTCACTGTATAAAAACAGCGAATAGTTGATACTTGTTTCCATGGAGGAGGATTTTAAAAATCTTTTTTCTTAACTACTTGTTGGTTGGCTGGTTAGATAGTACTTTTTGGAAGATTGATTTCACTCCTGGGATTCTGTCTTTTTATTAAGATGATAATCGTCTACCAGGTCCTCTGCAGTGTAACAGATCTCCCAAATCTGGTGATATGTCCACACTGGAGGCATTTGGGGACGGAGGGCGTCTCTGGAATGGCATGTGTGTGGAATTAAGTCACACGGCCGCCAGTAACCCTGACTGAAGCCCTCTGCGGCGCCGCCGTAAGGGGAGACGAGCATGGGCGGCCGGGCCGGCTGGGGACCGCGGTGACGGGTCCGCCGTCAGAACCGCCGTGAGACGGCGCTGTCATCCCGTCCCCGCCAGTCACGGCTCAGCAGCCCTGCACGCCCTGTCCAGAAGCGAGCGCCTCGCCTGCTCGGGAGCGAGGGAGCCGAGGAGTGTCTGGCCCTCTGCAGCGCGGGGGTGGCGGCCGGACAGACACGGGACACACAGGACGTTGAGACTGGCTGTGGGGGCCGGCTCGCCCGGTGTGCGGCGCTCACGGCTGGGCTCTGACTCGGAGGCCGCCCCGGCGGGACTCCGTCGCTGCCTTAGCAGGACGCTCCAGGTGCGTCCGCTTCGGTGCAGCCCGGAGGCGGGGGGAGTGTGCGGCTCTGGTGCATCCTTCCGGGGAGGACAGGCAGGGCTCCTTGAGGGCTCAGCAGAGGTAGAGGAAGGCGCTGCGACCGTCAGGACTGCAGCGGCCGGTCCGGGGAGGGGACGCCCGGGAGGCGTCCGTGCAGGCCAGCGCGACACGGCCACAGGTGACAGCAGCGGCTCCGGGAGAGCTGCCCGTCTCCTGCCTCACGGACGCGCTTGTAAAAATCACACGTGCTCGTAACCCCAGTGGCAGCCGTGTTGTCCCTTCTGTACGTCCATATTTCCTCAGACGCAGCCTCCGGCCGGCGGACACACCAGCGCGACGCCACCCAGAAAAGCCCCATCTGCCGCTCCCAAAGTGAGGAAAAGCGTGAGTAGCCGAGTCCACGAAGCCGTGAAGGCCATCGCTCTGTGCCACAACGTGACCCCCGTGTACGAGCATCGAGCCGGCACGCCCGCCGAGGCCGAGGACCAGGACTTCAGCGACGGGAACCGCACCTACCAGGCCGCCAGCCCTGACGAGGTCAGTCGGGGCCTTTCAGAGAATCTCAAAAACCAAACTCCGACCGAGGCACGAGGTTTCATTCTGGGAGGGTGAGTGTGAGGGGCGCTTTGTTACCGCTTCGGATGGCGCCTGAGCTCCAGCCCAGAAGGCCTCAGCGGCTCTCTAGGATCCGTGCATTTGGGCCTGCTGTGTCCGCATATCCCAGAAAGTCCGAGAGTGAGTTACTGGGAGACAGAGGAGAAAAATCAGAGCTTGAGCGATTTCATAAACGGATTTGTGACCGAGTCAGATCTTAGTGAAGCTGCTGGGGCCGCGTTGTCCCCTCATCGTCCCGTCTTCTTGGCTCCACATGAATCGTGAGGTTTGCGTGTTAAATTTACCGGTTGGTTTGTTTGGGGCTTTTGCCAGAATTGAGCTACAGCATATTTATTTCAAAAGAGAGTTGGGTGGCTCAGTGGGTTGAGCCTCTGCCTTCGGCTCAGGTCATGATCTCAGGGTCCTGGGGTGAAGCCCCGCATCGGGCTCTCTGCTCAGCGGGGAGCCTGCTTCCTCCTCTCTCTGCCTGCCTCTCTGCCTACTTGTGATCTCTGTCTGTCAAATAAATAAAATCTTTTAAAAAAGAGAGAGGGCATTGGGATATAAATCATTTCAAAAATCTACAGAAGACAGAAACAGTAAAATCTTAAATGTAGCAGATTAGTCATTTCTGACCTTACGTTTTTTACTTTCATTTATTTTTTTTTATTTTTTTGAAGATTTTATTTATTTTCTCAGAGAGCACACAAGCAGGAGGAGCGGCAGAAAGAGAGGGAGAAGCAGGTGCTCCGCTAAGCAGGGACTCGATTCCAGGCCCTTGGGATCACGACCCGAGCTGAAGGCAGATCCTTAACCGCCTGAGCCACCCAGGCGCCCCCATTTTTTGATTTTTGATAAAAGCCATTGTTAATTTGTCCGGCTCCCGTTTTGGCAGTGCATTTTAAATACAGTTTTCTTGCGCACTCTCTCGTAGTCAAGGTTACTGAGCTGATCTGTAATCAGACCGACAGCCGTGGAAGCAATGGAAGCAAACAAACTTCTTTAACTCCTCGTGGAATTGGATCCCATAATAACCCCCAAAAGTACCCTCAGTCTGGGTTTAAGGAAGAAAATCTGATGTAACGTTTTATTAGAGAGAGGAGCCCGGTGGTCCTCGTAAACAGGACTACTTCAGAAGAGCGAGGTCACTCCGCTCTCATGACATCACGGCAAGGGACCCAGGTGCCACTTTCCCCTGGGATGTCCACGTCAGGGAGGCCCGAGGGCTGGGGCCTTGCGCCACTGCTGGGAACCGCAGTGTGAAGCCAGGAGCGCTGAGGTGCTGGGGTGTCACGTGTGCCGCAGAGTCTGGGGTGCTGGCAGGAGCGTCACTGTTGTGCTGGGTGATACTAAGTAAGAGCTCAGAAGATAAACCTGTGAGTTTCCAGTGTTAGGAGAGGCGTCCTGTGACTAATAGCTCAGGCCGCAGGGCCGGGAGGACTGCGTAGACGTGTATCATGGCTGTGGCTTGCCAGGGCTCGTGTCCTGCTTCCCTGCGGCCAGGCACACCTGTCCTCAGGACCTCCCGGCTCCTTGAAAGCTCCTTGGGACAATTATGACGTGTTTTGTTCCCAGAGGCGCCCTCAGTCTGTGTCTGCGGTCTTCTGGGAGCCACAGGGGACACACTGGCACCCCTCATTCTGTCCGCACAGCAGGGAGACTGACAGTTCTATTTTCTTGTCTTTCTTGTGTATTTGCCATTTTCTGTACCTAATGCTTGGTTCCAGAAGCACCGATTGCTGGGCCTAGTGTGGGGCCAGTGCTTCTCCCTTCTGGAACTGCACCAGTGGCACCCACAGCTGAGAACCACGGGGCCCCTGCCAGCGTGTGCAGCGAACACTGCAGCAGAGCAGGGGGAGTGCTGGGGGAGTGTTGGGGGGGTGTGGTCCCTCCCCAGTGCCCCCACTGCAGGCCACACAGTGGAGACAGAGATGTGTGACCCGCTTACCTAGTTCTGACCTCGTCATGACAAGGAACCAAAATGCAGCAACAGACTCACGGCATTTGACGAAGCTCTGTGCGCCCCGTGTTATTTAAAAACCAGATTTATGTTTGAAGATGTGCATAGGCACTTGTTTATTTAGTCAGGAAATTATCTCACTGTAACCAAAACAGTCTACTTTAGAGAAATTAGGCCATGTCATTAGTCATGTAAGAGCATAGAGGTGGTAAAAGACACCCAAGAAGATGAAAGTTCAGTTTTTCTTTAAATGTGGAAAGCTGAGACCAGTCGCGCTGGCTCCCGGCCTCCCCTCGATGCATGCTTACATGGGGACCCCTCCTGGTCTCGCTTGTCCTCCCGCAGCTGCCCCCCACGGGTGTGCAGGTCTCAGCCACGCTGCCCCTCCCCCTGCAGGTGTGCGGGCCCCTCCCACTACGGGTGTTCAGGTCTCAGCCAGTCCCCCGAGGCCCAGGCTGCAGGGAGGTGCTGGGACGGGGCTGCTGTGGGCAGAAAGGAGGGAGCTTCTCACAGTAATTACTTAGAAACCAGATTCCTGGGAATATCAGGCCTTGACCTTCCAGCAGGACATAGAGCCCTGGAGTTCATAGCCAGGTGGTATCTCGTAGTAAAAGGTCTTTCCCCGCTTCTGGTGCCTGATGACTTTGTGGTGGTGAGCTCCCGTCGCGGGGTCATAACATCACCGGGCTCATCAGAGGGAGGAGGGCGCGGGGCACGTGCGGAGGCCCAGCCCCGCCATCTCTCCAGCTCTCCTCAGCACGCTTGGTCTGGAGTCCGCTGGCCGGCAGACGGGACGTTGTTAGCACCACGGGTGCACACTGGAGTTCGTGTTGACCTATAAATACGGAGACATCTGTTGTGCCCAAACTCTGCGCGGCTTTTGGAAGCGTGTGTGTGGCACATCTTTTTATCTGGTAATAGGAAATGTAGGTGAAACTGCTAAGAGGAAGAGCTAAGCCAGCTGATCTCTAAACTGCCGTCTTCGCGAGCCAGCGTGGGCCCTGGCCACAGCCCTTTGTGGACGTGGGCCACGTTCCGTTTCACATGAAGAAGGGGTTGAACACATTCTCCGCATGATGTAACGTTCTAGAAATTCTCCAAAATTGCATACAACTGTACGTTGAAAACTATTCCCCAGTCTTAAAGATGGAAAACTGAGACCACAGATGTTTCTCAAGAAAAATCTTACTGGAAATTGTAAAAATACTATTTACATATTTACCTTATTACCTGTCGAAAGTAAATAGAAGTTTTATTGAAAATATGTGGGATTTTTCATCTTTAGGTATTTATATAACCATTAACACTTTTTAAGTCTTAAATTAGGTATTCACAATAGAACGGGATCTCATTGATTCCAAGATTACTGGACTCAGATAGAAACTGCCAGTCTTATCATTGAATTTTTTCCTTGTTTAAAATTTCTTTCTACTTTGGAGATTGGACAATGATTAAAAGTAGCAACGCATTTAAATAACCTTAAAAAAATCCCGAACATGTATCTTAAATCTGAAAACGAAGAAAATAGAGTTCGTCATAATTTTTTAAGACCCCTGTCGATGCGATGTTTGCAGATCCCTCAGGCCCAAGGAAAATCATCTAAATGGTTCATTATTTAGCTTATTGAACTTTGCCGGTTAGGTTGACGGATGATGGCAATGCTTCCCAGTCGCCAAAGCCCCGTTTTAAAAGCGTTTTTTATTGAACAAAGTGCTTAGAATATTGTACCCTGGAGCTTTATTCCGGGAAACGGCTCAATTGATGTTTTCTGTTTGACCTCAGCTTTGACCTCTCACAACACGTATGGTTAATAAGCAACATTATCATTTCGGAGACGTCCCTGGTTTTGTGCATTCTGCGTCCCGCCCTGCTCGTATCGTCCCTGCGTGTTTATGGCTCTCGTGTCCTCTTCAGCTTTCGAGAGAGCGTGACTGCAGGAGAACGTTCCTGTTGGGTCCCTGCTAGCACAGTCGCCGTTCTTCACCACGCAAGTGGCCTTCGTTTTCACTTTCCTGAAGACAGAAAGGGTCTCTTGCCTAAGCTACAGACACGCGCAAACAGATGTTCATACAAATGAGGAAATTCTGGGGGAGTTGATGGTCAACCCTTAAAGGCTCTGTGAGGTCTGTGAGGTACAGTCGTCAAACTTGCCGGGACATGTCTTCGTGGGACATCGGTGATCCTTTAAGGAGCAGCAAGTGGTGGTAATGTTCATGCGTCAGCGACTCATCTCGCATTCCCCACGTGGAGCCCACTGACGCCCTGGCCCTGTTTCTTATGATGAGTTCTCTCTGAGAGAGGAGAAACTCACTTGCCTGTCGTTTGTCTCTTACAGCCGTAGCATAGCAAACTGCAGCTTAGTAAACATTAGACGTTCCCCGGAAATTCCTGGGTGGAATTAAGACCCGTCCCCCTTCAGTTGTGTGTGTCCCGTGCACGCCCCCAAGTGTCGCGAGCCATCAGAGTGGATGCCCGCTCCGGAGCCGGAGCCTTGGTGCTCGCCGTCGCCGACTCCAGTGACCAGGGCACATGGTGACACAAACCTGAAGACTCTGGCTTCTTTGGGCCCAGAAAGACTGATTGGCCAAGATGTTTGATGCCCGCTGCCTCCTGACAACCAGCTCTTCGTGGCGGTACTCTTCCCCGCGGTGCGGCGGCCCTTCTGTGTCCCGTGTTACTATCAGGCGCAGTCACCACTCCCCAGCTGGACACTCACTTGCACGAATGAGCTAATGTTGCTGCCAGACCACAAGTGAGCTTTTTAAGACGTGGAAGAATAGCACACGCTTAATGGCCTTTGGCTTCTGGACTCACCGAAGCGAGCGCTCATGCACGTGGCGTGCACCAGTTGTGTGTCTGCGTGTGTGCGTGCCCAGCGCCGTGGGGCTAACCGGCGTTGCGTTGGCGCGTAGGGAGGCCGGCCCCTCCCAGAAGCAGTGCACCGTGCGCGGCCGGCCGTTACTGCTGGTTGGCAGCTTTTCTG